TATTTACATCTATTGCGCAGCAGAGATTTGTTTTACGTAAGAGCTTCATAATTTTTGGCCAAATCAAAACATTGTTGATGAAATGTATGAGACATGATTAGATACATTTGAAATTGAAATGATGCAAGACTGTACAAGTGAATAGTACAAAAATGTAGAAATTGGGTACATGTAACGGCATCTAGAAAGTGGACTACGTACACAGTTATTTATAAAATGATTGTATAGCTATCTGTAAGCATTTATTTATTTATTTATATATTTATTTATTTTTGAGAAGCAATTTGAAAAAAAATGTTTTTTAAAAGTTAAAAGATAAAAAAAAATCTTTTAGGCAAAAGTTAAGACAATTTTTAAATACATTCCATAGTTTTTGAAACCTATAGGCACTGTTACAACGCGAAATGTAATAACAACGCAAAATGTAATAAACCAGGATTATTGCATTTTCCGTTATTACATTTTGCATCGAGATCAAGGCAGAATGTAATAACGCAAAATGTAACAACTGACTCTTTAGGAGTATTACATTTTGCGTTATTACATTTTGCGTCGAGATCAACGCAAAATGTAACACCGCAAAATGTAATAACACACTTTTGGGATAATTTCATTTTGCGTTGTTACATTTTGCGTCGAGATTTAGCAAAAGGCAAGAATGCAAAATGTAATAGCACACGTTTGGTCAGTCAGGTTGAGAATAATTTTCAATTGAGTAGTGGATGAAAAAAAAAGAAACGGAAAGAAAATAAAACAAAACAAAAAATAAACAAATGCCTTTCTTCCATAAGATCGGATTTTATAATATGCTGGATTTCATTAACTATTTAGAATCAGTTTAATCTTCAAGTCATAGGTGTTGAAAATTAGAAACGTGCTTGCAAGGGCGAGGGTGGGGGTACATGTAATTTCGTTGAACAGTGTACTTTTGCTTTTTGATAGACACATGCATTGAATTTAGAAAAAGATCTATTAATTTGTACTGACAGGTGTAAATATAGCGGGGAGGGGGTTTATTAGCAATTATGATTTTATAGTCTTTTGCAAATCACGTACAGTGCAGACCAGCAAAGATAAAATTCTCTCTCTCTCTCTCTCTCTCTCTCTCTCTCTCTCTCTCTCTCTCTCTCCAACAATAAAATGGATGGTTTCTGCATGTGCATAGAAATTCAATAATCAACATACTAAGTAAACACCCCACCCCATCCCTGCCTCTACTCGGCAGACACACACACATAAACTTCTTATTTCCTAACCAATGTACTATGCATGTCATGCATGCATATTGAGAACTTCAAATGGACCCACTGTCAATCTTTGGAAATTAAAAATGTCATTGATTGGATGTATAATACAGATTGATTTATGAATAGACATGTCAATCAAAGTGAAGTTATTTTTTCATACGTATTCAATATATATATATATATATATATATATATATATATATATATATATATATATATATATATAACAGAGCTAGAAAAAAGATCCTGTCGTTTAGATTCAGTAATGTCCGTAAAATCCGTTACGTTTGCCTCATTGTCATAGTTCTGTCTGACTATTTTGTAAAAAGATTTTCCCCATGGTTATATGTTTAAATCAATTTTATGATGTTTTGCGTTGAACCCAATCCCCCCGAAAAAAATATGTTTTGTTTTATTACATTTTGTTTTATTACATTTTGCGTTGTCCTCGGCGCAAAAATTAAATAACGTAAAATGTAACAACGAAAAAAGTACGTTATTACATTTTGCGTTAGTCCCAACGCAAATTTTAATAACGCAAAATGTAATTATCTAAAAATTTGGGATTATTACATTTTGCGTTGATTTCGACGCAAAATGTAATAATCCCAAATTATTACATTTTGCGTTGTTATATTACATTTCGCGTTGTAACAAGGGACTCTGATAGCAAATCAATGTGTTTGTATTATCATCCATAGTAACTTATGATGTTCAAAATTTGTTGAAAAACATAACCTCTAATATAGATGAAAAATAATGGGGCTTAATTTCAAATAATAAAACTAAAGATCGATAAAGTTACTTTGAAAAGAAATAAATATGACATACTGAAATCATGCAAATTCATAAAGTTTGAAATTTTATAAACAAACTGACGAATATTCATGTCTATTTAATGCATATTTGATAAGAATGCTTAAATTCTTACTTACTTTGCCTTCAAATTGTAAGATGTCATGTCATCGTTCTGTTCAGATGATTCCTAATGGAAAAAAAGTTTATTTTCTTTCATTCAATCCTACTAACAATATACAATTGGGACACATCGCTCACCTGAGCACTCTGGTTGATGAAAATTAGAAATAAGTTCATAATTGAAAAGTTTACGAAACACAGTTGGCCCAACTATATCCAATGGGGGATGATGATTCTAACAAATTTGCCTCCATATTAATATGAATATACACGCTGTTCTTCAGAGGATTTTAATGACTTTTTTATTTATACATTCCTATATAAACTTTGATCCCCTGCTGTGGCTCAACCCTACCACAGAGATCCTGATTTGAAAGAAAAAATGAATCTATAATTTTTGAGGACGTTACTGTATAAATATGACTAATCGATGGTTCGATGTTTTTACAGAAATAATTTTAAAGATATTCCTAATTATTCCTATGTTGATCACCTGCTGTGGCCCTAATTAACCCGGAGAATCATGATTTAAACAAATTTCGAATCTACGCTATGTAATGAACCTTGCTAGTAAATCTCAACTTTTCTCGCTTAGTGATTTTTAGAAAGAATATTTTTTTTATGATGCCATTAAATCCTAGTTTATTCTTAATTATCACCCTTTGAAAGAAAATGTGGCCCTTCTTTTGAAGAAATTTGTATTCCCTTCACCAAGAGGATGAAAATGTGAAAAGTTTACGACGACAACGACAAGAAAGACGACGACAGACAACGCACTAATTTTGACCAGAAAAGCTCACTCGAGCCTACGACTCAAGTGAGCTAAAATATATTAAACGTGTTTTAATTTTGCCTTAAAAAATGAACCTTGTTAATTCATTTTGCAATAGTTAGTGCTAAAAAATAACTTTACTCAAAATGTATCATCCTGGTTCATTTATTCAAATTTCATTTAATCCCTTTCCGTCAATGAAACACGTGGATGCAAGCTATCCCCTTTAAAAAATTCCACTCTTAGTGGTATATTTTTGTATATTATAATGGTCAGAAAAATAACACAATTTAAAAATTATATTAACACGGGTACTGATATACCTCATTTACCGTATTTATGTTTTCGTTGTCTTTTGCTAGAGAGTTTGACTGGTATTGTTTGACATTCGTCTGATCATTGTCTTCATTTTCTAAATCCTTATATAAACAAGAGGCCCATGGGCCACATCGCTCACCTGAGCATTTTGGCAAAAAAAAAAGTTCAACATTGATAAAAATTTATGCGTGTTCCCGACCTATTATCCAGGGTGGTGCGGGAAGGGAAATGATTCAACAAACTTGAAACTATATGGAGGATGCTTCCAAATTTTATTGACAAATGTTTTTCTCCTGTACTTGAGAAGAAGATTTTTAAATATATTTCCTTTAATTTACCAATTCAAAAATTTGATCAACATTTTGGCCCCATCCCCCCCCCCCCCAGGGGTCAAGATTTGATAAAAAAAAAAAAAATACACAAGATTTGAATCTATACTAAGATAGTGCTGAATTAATATGATTAATCATTGTTTTTCAGTTCTTCAGAATATCTAAATACATGTATTTTCCCGTGTATTCCTATGTGCATGTAAAACTTTGATCATCCATTGTGACCCCACCCTACCCCCGGGGTCATGATTTGGACAAATTTGAATCTACACTACCTGAGGAAATTTCCATAATAATGACTAATCATTGCTTTGCTGTTCTTGAGAAGAAGATTTTTAAAGATATTTCCAAAATATTAAAATATAAATATTAATCACCCATTGTGGTCCCACCCTACCCCAGTGGGTCATGATTTAAACAGATTTGAATTTTCACTACCGCAGGATACTTCTGAATTACTATGACTAATCAAGGCTTTGCTATTTTTTGAGAAGAAAATCTTTTTTCCCCTGTATATAAATAATGATAGCCCACTGTGGCCCAACCTTCCTCCCTGGGGGGGGGGGGGGGGGTTATGATTTGAAGAACCTTGAATCTACCCTACCTGAGGATGCTTCTGCATAAATATGACAAATCGTGGCTTTTCTGTTCTTTAGAAGAAGATCTTTAAAGATTTTTCCTATGTATTTTTATGTAAACTTTGTTCACCCATTGTGAGCCCACTCATTTTCCCCGGCCTTGTGGTTCTTGAGAAGTAGATATTTTAACAGATGCAATAGATTTTTCATTGATTGGATATTATCTCCTCTTGAAAAGGGAGTTGACCCTTCATTTGACCAAACTTGAATCCCCTTAACCAAAGAATGTTTTGTGGCAAGTTTGGTTGAAATTGGCCCAGTGGTTCTTAAGAAGAAGTTGAAAATGTGAAAGGTTTACAGACAGACGGACAGACAGACTGACGGACGGCAGACAAAATGTGATCAGAAATGTTCACTTGATCCATTGGCTAAGGTGAGCTTAAAATAGAATAATATTCCAGTATACAATGTATGTTTGATGCAAATACTGATATTTCGTAAAAATAACTTCAAGTAAATGATACAGTGTATATCATTCACTGCAAGATTTGTGAGAATTCTAAATTCGCTTCAAAGGCATTTTTTCTTTTAGGATTTTTTTTTTCAAAAATGGTAAACCAATGTTTGCAACCCATATCTGCGGATATTTCAAAATATTACAAATCAACAAGCTTAGGAAATGAAGAGGGTAAATATTTTGTCAGATCTGCACGAGGGAAATGACCTCGCGTTTAAGTGGCGTAATAAGTGACGTAATAAAAGCGGGTAAAATCGAGCTTCCAATAAATTCTCAAAACATTATTTTAATGAAACATATTTTGTACTGAGCAAGTAATCATACACTTCCTGGTGCCTTCACTTTGTCCTCTTCAATTGTTATCTTTGATTGTCTTTTTCTTTTTCTCATTTGACCTGGATTTTCCTCATCATTCCTTTTTTTCTCAAATAATTTCTTCTCAATGTATATGTCTACCTCCTCTTTCAAGAAAATCTAGCAAAATATTTAAAAACTTTGCAAAATATTTATTGGACATACCAATAAATCTGTTTAGCTGTTAGAAAATTTGTGTACGATTTTTTTTTTTTCGCAGGACCATAGGCTGTGTAAAATCTAAAGGTTTATACCATGTGTTGTCCAAGTTGAAAGCAATCTTTCATTTCAGAGGGAAGTAAATTTTCGATAATAGATTCTAAATCTTCTTTAGTAGACCCTGCATGCAGTTCCGGAAAGAGGATGTTGTACCTAGGCAAATTATAAATAACTGAATTGAACGTTCAAAATTCTGTTCAAAGTTGAACACATAGAAAGAAAATTCCTGAATAAAAAATACATAAAAGGGGTTTGGTGAAATGAAAGAAAAAAGATAAAGCCTATTGAGCATTTTTCCTATACATTGACCCCAGTAAGAAATAATAAAAAAAACATCAGAAAGAAATATTTATTTTCCACACAATTACTTTTATCAACCTAGATATTCTACTCAGCGTCCAGTCCTTTCTTTGATATGTACATGTATATATATGCAAGTGTTGATAAAAGGAGAATTGCATTTACTTAGCTCCCACGTATGGGAAATACCAAATATTTCAACCTTAAGTGTATATTGATATTTCTAATTGATTGATTTTATGTTGTTTCACGTCCCGTTCGATATTTTTTTCACTCATAAAGAGACGTCACCCTATGCCAACATTTAGAACTATACTCGGCACTCAGGGTTACTGGGCAGTGAGGGAACTTTATCATGCCAAGGCCTGTCGTGAAACGGGGACTTCAGTTTTTTAAAGTCTCATCTAAATACCCGAATCTTTTACTCCAGCGTTCTGAGCGCTTGTCGAAGAACAGTTGCTATCTATTTTTCATCGACTTAGGTCAGTCGCAGCTAGAATTTAAAAGTACGACCTTCCGATCACGGAGCGAGTACTCTACCGACTTGGCCACCGTGACCGTTTGATATTTCTAAGATCTTGCAAAAAGGCAAGAAGGCAGACAAAATTAAAAATGATGAGAAATAACTGCCATCGGTTTTGGGTCTCCCGCATGGGGCAGTGGTTAGTGCGTCGCAGAGTAAGAAGCTTATCCTTAGGTCGCTGATTTCAATCCACTGCGGGAAGTGGAGACCGGTCCTTCAGATGAGACCGTATAAACCGAGGTCCCCTGTTGAGGTACGAGGTAGTCGTGGAACAAAAAAGATCCCTCACTCCTCAATGGCCGGGAGTGCCGAGTAAAGGTATAAATTTGCAGCCCTCCACCGGCAAGTGGCGGAGTCTCCATATGAGTGAAAATTTCTCGAAAGAGCCATTAAACAAGAAACAAACAAACAAGCAAAGCCGTCAATTTTTGGTTCACATTCAATAATATGTCGCCATGTTTTACGCTATGTTTAATGTTTTCCTACTTAGTTAATTACCTAACATACCTTTTAATGAAATCCGTCACTGTTAACTGAACAGAAAATCCGTGATTTCGAAGTTTTGCTATCTGCAAAATTCCATTGTACATCAATTGCTTTCCAACAACCCTTTTGTCATAGGAACAGCTGTTCGGTTCTTCCTTTGGTTTTATGCACCTACACGTTCAAAATAAAAAGGACTGCGCTAAATTAGCAATAAACAGTTTTGGAAAGGAAAACCGCATGTACTTTCTTCATGCGTATATGTTAAGCGTAGACTATGGATCTCTACCTTACGAAGTGAGGCGTTGAACGTTCCAGTTCCTTCATAAGCTCATTCAATGACTCCTTGAAAAAAAAAGGAATTGTGTACTAAAGTCTTCGTAACTATTATCTTATTGTAATACATTTTGAAAATTAAAAGTCACTTCAATATTAGATCTTTTATATACCAGAAAGCTGGTTATTAAACAGAAAAAATATAACTTGCATACTATTAGGTCAATAAATTTGCAACAGTCATTTATTCGGGATTTCTCATTTTTTTAAAATTTCCTAGATGTAGCTTTTTTATGGACATTCAAATACATGTATCCTGAGGAAATTGATAAATCCTTTTTATTAAAAGAAATCCATTAAATTCACTCCCACGATATATTATGATTTATTTTTTTTAACTTCATATTTCATTAATACTAATGATAAAAACATGTGAACACAAGCAAACCATGCAATGCGTTTTCTGTTGATATTGAAAATTACATCTAGAATGTGCAGTGAAAAAATATAAACATTATACCTTGTAAGTGTCAAGAGCAGTCTTTGACTTTCTTCTGGGACCATTATGGTTTCTAGAATGATAATTTGTCATATATTTATTAGCAAACATATGAATGTCTATGCATTTGCTGTCCAAATATTCTACTTTCATCTTTCATATGAAAACATTTATCTGCAAAAAAACATCTGTATGAAAGACAAGAATTATCTGCCCCTTCGATTTCTTATCCCAGGGTTGAACAAATATATCTTTTGTGTTTATCATTCATTTTTGACACGATAATAACTAAGCAAAAAAAAAAAAAAAGAACTATATCATGACTAGTCACAATTATTCAGAAAAGAATGGAAAATCATTCAAAACATTGAAACTTTTCGTCATATTTATTGATATTGTAAGAATAAAAAAACATGAATAATAATTTTTTTTTCTGGAGTAAATATAGACATCATGACAAACTGTTAAAATACATAGAAGCTACGACATGGATCGAGTACCTACCTTGATAAAGTTCCCGAAAGGTCTGCTGAAATTTGCTGGTCAATGCTTTTCTTTATTATGTTTCTCAAATCATCTGTAAGTTTGTCTCGATTCTTCTCTAGAATATTTTCACAATTGTACCAGATCTAAATGAACCATATGATAATTTTCGTAAAAACTTTTTTTTTATTTTCAATTTTTCTAAAATCGTATAAGGAAAAACGATACATGTAAGTTTACCCGATAGAGCAAGAGTACTTGAATGAGATTACAGCTATTGGTTTGTTATTGCTTTTACTCTTGGTTTTTTTTTTTTTTTTTTTTTTTTTTTGGTCATTATTATTATCAAGGTCTTCTGTCGTCTACGGAATACCTCTAAGGTTTTTTATTATTATTACAGACCCTAAAACGTGCTACTACTCCACATCATGCACGGTTCGGTTCGTTTCGTTTTGTGTACGGTACGGTACGCTTCTTGCACGGAACGGTTCGTTTTGTGTACGGTACGGTACGGTTCGCTTTGTGCGGTTTGTAAATTAAGTGGGCGCGGGGCCTGTACGCTCTTTACGTTTTTATAATCTCTTTATTTTATATAAATGGAAGGACGGTGTCGTAAGCATTTTTAATAAGTTGTTTTTAAGTTAAAGCTGTTATAAATATTTCCTTTTTGCAGCTGTATTTTCGTTATTGAGTTCAACAAGTCGTCTTTTTTACTGTATCTTTTTTATTTACTTTCTGTATGAACTACTCTCACTTTTAAAATTAAAATAATTTAAGTTGTCTATTTATTATTTTATTTTGTACACCATCGCCATATGGTTCAATAACTTGGAAATAAATCGAACATTTCAACAAACACTGTATAACCAGGATGAAAAAATATTCTGGTTGCGTCGCCATTAAGGCCTTTCTGCATGTGTTTTTTTTTTTAAAGAATAAGCGTACATATATATTTTTTTCTTTTAATTTTCCTAATTGAATACAATCATTATTTTCAATATTCACTTATCACACTTTTAAACTAATGAGTTTGATTTTATAAATTCATTTCGTCTGCCATTGTTTTTACGTTTTTGTCGCTGTTGCTTCATTAAAATAAACAAACAAAAAATTAAAACAAAAAACAAAAAAAAAAAGAAAAAAAAAAAAAAAGAAAGAAGCAAAAACAAAAAAAAAAAAAACAAAAAAATCAAAACATTTTTTTCTCTTGACCGAATGATCAAACAAACAACAACAAAAAATAAAAGTTATTATTTTCATTTTTATTTGCGATGAATTATAAATTTTTTTTTACATAGATTTCTTAGGTGTTTGGCTCACTAGGAAAAACACATTGGGAAGTAATCGGTAGAAGTGCACACAATTGGTGCAAAATATTACTTTATTTTCTGTGGGCGTAATTGATTTCCTTTTTTACATAAATTTTCCATCAATGTGTAAAAAACGCATCTTAAAGGACTTATCGCATGTTTCTAAATTATTTGAAATTAAAAGTGTAAAACGTTCCTTATGACCACAGCTTATAAATTTTGTGTTTTTACAGTGGATAAATCGCGGTAATTAACCAATTATTGACTCAAATGAAACCCCCCAAATTAAAAATCTAAATTAATTAGATAGCGATCACGTGACCCTGTGACGTCAAAGGCGACAATGGCTGATCAGTTCCTCACGTTAATCTTACTAAAATATACGTGATACAACCTGAATTTTCTACGTTATGAATGACCAAATCACTGATTTTATCGATATGAATTTGAATATCCAACCATATATTTTAGAATTGTTAGCAAGAAAAAAATCTGAAAAATCTGTTAACATTGTAAAAATAGCAGCGACGATAGCGAGGGAGACGCGGCGAAGACGAAGAAACTCGCCATCACAATACAATTTGATTTGTCATCTTATCACATGTATGAACTTTTTTGATTCACAAATTTAACATTATATAACTTTGTTATTCTTCATTTTTAATATTATAATTTATGCAAGTATGCCTCCATATGTTTTGTAAAGGATGGCGGTCTTGAAAAATATTTTCCGATCACGGCGAAACATTGCCGTGATCAGACCTACAGATGCTAAATATTTGGAATAAAAACGAAAATATCTCAAAAGTCTTATAGCTTAGAACTAGTTAATGTTTCTATAGTAATTGAAAAGCACGTTAGGAATTATTTTTTCCAGCATTTATCTTAATTAAGATGCATTTGTCCGTGATAACTCCATAAATAGTGTGCAACTTCTCATCTCTCTATCACTGAATTGTCGCCTATGACGTCAGAGCAGTATTTCGCCGAAATCCGACTGAAATATGCATATTGCCGTATTTGAATTTCAACTCTCAATATCTCTTAAAGTACGCTTTCAACAACGTTTATTTTATTCAGTATTTTAATAAACAAGGTTGTAGATAATATTTTTCATAAAATTAAGATTTTTGAAAAATCATGCGATAAGTCCTTTAAAGGGAAATTACAAGAAAGAAAATGGTTCAGATAGATACAATTCCATCTACAATGTATATATATTTATAATATATATTGACTGCAAAGACAGATTTCCGAAATGAATAATCCGTCAAAATGTTAGAAATAAATTGTCCGTTTTCAATTACCTAGAAAATAAATAAAATGCACCCAAGCATGTCCTTAAAAGCAAATGGATAATTTACCCCATGTCGGGTGCTAACCCCCCCCCCTTTTTTTTTTTTTTTGGTTTCTTGTCAAACTCAAACTTTTTTAATTGAAAATCTAGAAGAAAGCTGACTGTACATGAAATTCTGTTTTTCTGCTTGTTAAAACTGGTTCATTATTGTAGACGTACTGTTTAAGACAGTAAACTGTTGATACACGTGTGGATGTAGGCATATCTGGACTATTGGATTAGATACCGTTTAATATACACACCTTAAGTTTTTACCTGTGCGCGTGTGATGACAATACTTGATCGAAATTTTCAAATGTTTTAGAGTAAGTAACGAAAGTATACAAAGACGTCAGTCTAGATAACGAGACCATGGCAAGAAATGTACAGTGTTTCTGAAAAAAAAACTTGGATGAACACGCGTGCACTGTCGCAACGCACTTTGAAAAAATTACGCACTTTGAAAAAAAAATTTCAAAGTGCGTTAAAATTGGAACAAAATCAACGCACTTTGAAAAAAAATTTCAAAGTGCGTTAAATTTTGGACAAAATCAACGCCATTTGAAATTCTTTTTCAAAGTGCGTTAAGAGTGTTTATCAACATTTTTTTTACCATGGAGGCACTTAACGCACTATAAAAAATACGTATAAAACAAAAATTGTGGACTTAGATTTTAATAATACACAGCATTAATTTGTTACATGTATATTTTCTCCGATAAACTTATGAATTCATCTACCCTCAACGAGAACGAGGAAAAGACAGGTAGAAAGTCCCCCAGCCCAACCCTCTATCTTTCCTACACAAATATATGTATTTACATAACTGGTATGACATTGATATTATTTCTCTCAATAAATTTGAGTTAAAGTAAAATAGATGAAAAAATTGAGATAAGCTTTCCTGAAAAAAAAATTACGCACCCTACTATATTAAAAAGAGATCTGCATAACCTTTATTCAAAATGTATCCACAATGATTCCTCAGAAAAAAAAATGCATTTACATGGTAATTAAATCATGCTATTTGACATGCCTAGCGTTTTAATGATATCAATTTACTGATTTAGAAGTAACCTGACTGCATAACTTTTTTGAGAAAAGTTATTAGTGAACGAGGTAAAAATTTCAGTCGAGTGAGTAATGTGGCTAAGGTTTACTTTCTTACTATCAAATAAATGAGTCAACCATTGTTTCATATATGTTCACAATAGATAGATGAATATGATAGAAAAGTAGATGAGAGAGAGAGAGAGAGAGTTTTTATGCTATGGAAAAATCATAATTGCTCCCTTTAGCCGAAAGAAAAATGCGATGCTTTAAGTCACTTATCGACACCTACATTTACCGAACTTATTAGAGACTGGATAAGATTTTTAAAAAAAAGAAAAGAAACGGAACTGTGCTATTAAACAATCATTCCTCCATTATTTCTAAGAACCCATTTCCCCTTTTATAACAGTTACTAGAACCTTTGGAAACAAGACAACTCCTAAAAATCTTTTAAACGTCTATATCTCAGATCCTGACGTCATCATCGAAAAATTATTCAACCAGGTTCAAATAACTATTTATCATGCCTAAAATTTTTAAGAATATTGACCAAGCCGTACACATTTTTTTTCACAAGTGCGTTAATATGGTCGATATTAACGCACTTTGAAAAGATTTTTTTTTCAAAGTGCGTTAACGTGGTTCCAAAATTAACGCACTTTGAATTTTTTTTCAAAGTGCGTAATTTTTCAAAGTGCGTTGTAACAGTGCACAGACTAAGCATTTAAAAAAAAGATTAAACTGGGCTTTATGTGTAAATTCCAGGTAACATATTTTACCTACAGGTTTCAGTGAATAAAGCAAATGAAATCAGAAAATGCTTTAAATAAAAATTAATTCTGACATATATCTAGATTCTTTTTTTGGATTACGTGTATTAAACGGAAAATTCCATGCGAAAATGTGGCGTTTGAACTTATTGACAGTATGTTGTATTGGCGATAACATCTTGGGTTGGTCAGAAGAGTGTAAACCAACACATATTATTTATATATACATCGCTTTTATTTATTTTTTCTAGTGGTTGAGAGGCGTTTACATGTCCGCTTTCAAATTGACAATTTAGTTCGTAATGTTTTTGAATTTTTGTTGTTGTTGTTGCTAACTCTGTAATCATTTCTCCCTAAAACTATTATTTACATGAATAAAAAAATTATTTTAAGGGCTTGATTCGGCAAATAGCACAGAATCCTAATACATTTTTCAATGTGTCTTGGATTCCGAGAACGTTCATAGAGACAAGAATAGGGTAGATAAAAGGTATAGAAACTAGAAACTCATTGCGAGCAATGAGAGGTCTTCCGTCTGATTCTGAAAATAAAAAAGAAAATTCAAGCTAAAAAAGTGATAAAAGAAATTCAGACACTCTGGAGATTTAACCCTAATCATCAGCATGAAAATCCAACGTGCTAACCATTAACCATTCACTTTTTTACATCACTTCCTT